ACCACCAACAACAACAACAACAACAACACCAGCAGCAGCACCAGCAGCAGCAGCAGCAGCAGCAACAACAACAACAACAGCAGCAGCAGCAGCAGCAGCAGCTACAACTACAACTACAACTACAATTTTTCAATTGCACGCGGCGCGAGCGGGGTCTGCGCGTGGCGGGCATAAAGCCGCACTTGCACTCACAAAAGCTGTGTAACCGACCTGTCAAGTTGTGATCCATCTAGTTAGGGCAAAGCTGCAGAACCTAAAGTAAGAAGAAGAGGCAAGACCTGCTAGCAAGTAACTTGCGCTCAGAAGACTCAGCTCAGCTCAGAAGCCTGAGACCGATCCACGCCATGCGGCCCCGTACCGTTTTTGGCCGTCGAGCACATGAGACTTTTTCACCACCTCCACCGAGCGGGGTTGCCCGCTGCGGCTGCCCCATATCCGACTGGACCGACAAGCACATGAGGGGCTCCAAAGATCTCCAAATGACAGGACCACAGTCGGCTTGGTGTCGAGGGACGTCGCTATCCTGAGAGTACCTGTATCTGCCGCTGGAAATGCGTGCATGTCTCCCCTGCAGAACTAGCTAGACATCCTGGGCCTTACCTGATGCAGCTCAATCCGTTTTCCTGAAGGGCGGTGAGCCGTTGTGTGTCTCTGTTGATGCAAAAAAGCACTGAGCCAGGCCCAGCATGCGGCGGCAGCTGAATTAGCGGCAACTCGCTTGGCCGAGCAACATGACCGGCTTGATCAAACCGAGCGAGTTGGCCCGAGGCCCCTGTGTCGACCAGCAGAAGCTGGCCAGAGGCCCCGCGGCTTCTTCCTCCATTGCCAAGAAGATGAGGAAGAGGAAGAGGCACGGTCTTGATCATAGTATCCCTGCCACCAGCTGGAATGATTCCAGCCTGCCTCCTGCCAGTCGCCTGTATCCCGCTGCCTTTTGTCGACATAGGAGGTGATGTTTTGTATGTGGCGCTTGGACTGAGCCATGTAGTAGGCCTTGGCTTTGGTGTCTCCCAGCTTGTGATCGATGTGCATTAGTGCTGCACCACTCCGCCTGTCGGCTGGTGTATATGATCAATTGGCCAGGCCCCAGGTCCGGCATGTATGATCATAAATGGACTTGACCGTGGAGGCCACGATCTCAAAATTGCCGTCCGCCTCGAGAATTGCGGCCATTTCAGCACGGTCCCACATGTTCCCTGCACCGTATCAGTATCAGGCTGCAGTGCCCAGTTGGCACGCTTGCTCCGTAGCCCCAGCCGAAGCTGATGCATCCTTGCAGCGTCTTCGCTCTGGGCGGGCCAGCCGGTTCTGCTGAGCAGGGGTTGGGGGGGTGCAAGGCGTGGAGCAAGCTCGCCCGACGGCTGGTGCGGCGGGGGAGGAGCCGGAATCCTCGGGCACACTGCCCATTGGGGGTGACATTGGGGACTCGGTCCAGGAAAGCATGTCGGAGTTGATTCCATCATGGACGCAGTAAAAAAGGAGCGACAGTACGCCAGCATCCAGGCTGAGGATGTCCTGCGCTTTCTTCCCCAAGGCCTGATCCTGCGCCCTACGTTGCCGGGATGGCTCTCCTGTCGCCACTGTCGCAACAGGCAGCAATCGCCGCTGGAGTTCCCCAACTCTGAAGGTGTCAGCAATCATTTTCAGCACCGAGGTGGTGCTCACAACGCGGCGGTGCTCGGCCCCTGCCATATTTCTGGGAACACACCTCCAGCGACGCAAGCAGACCCACCGCCAGCTCCTCTAGGCTAAGGCACAGTCTCGGCATGCCCCCCCTTCCCACACATCAAGAACAACAGGCGCAGCCGCCTCGGCCTAAGATCACGGCGCAGAGCCAAACCCCACTGTCCCAGCCTGCGCCTTTCACGCCTCCTCCGTGGGATATCCACGCTAATACCGGGGCTGCGGTCATCACTGCGTAGACTGTAGGGCTTGCACATCCTGCCTGAGGCAAGGCCTGCAGCAGAGTCTTCGCCCTGCGTTCAGCTGCTCGGGGGTCGCCCTTGAAGCCCCTACGCCAGTCCCAACAGCGAGCGAGAGCAACTGTCGTGCCTCCTGCCGTCTTGACGTGATTTCCGTCAGAGCCCGAGGCACCACCTTTCATGCTATTAGCAAAATGCTCCCGTAGCAAATAGACGGGGCCATAGTGCTTGGTGATGTTCCAGCCAGGTTGAGGTGGGCGTCAGGTCGTGGCTGAGGATTTTCCAGAGCGTCCTGCAGAAGATCATGTACTCAAAGTTGGCAATGCTGGATAATATCTGGCGCGAGAACGAATGTGTGACGGCTTGCAAGATGAGCGGACGCCGCGGCTGGCCGTAGATGATTCCCTGGAAGATATGATCCCCGCGCTGCCCGATTGCCATCATGAGAAATTCTTGCGGGAGTGTTCCCGGAGGGGAATCTGGTAGGCCGAGCCTCCGACACTCGTTCTGCTGAACCAAGTCCCATTCTCTGGCTTGCGGGCCTGAAGCTCCGAGAATGGGACTGTGAAGCAGAATTTAGTATCCACACACAGCCCTTCTCGGTTGTAGTACTGGATGTAGCGGAAGCCGTCAGCGCGATGAGCTGGCTGTGTCAGGCGCGAGATGAGCTGCGCACCATGCTCACCGGCGTGTGCTCGCACCACGGCACGCAGCGCCTGATCGTCGAAAAAGCTGCGCTGAAAGTCCGGGAGATACTGGCGACACATGCCTGGCGGGCTCGGCCGTGGCATGCATCTCCTGGTGTATGTTGTCCGCCGTGGCATTCCACGAGCACATGATCAGCACGTGAAAGGCGGAAGGGTGTGACTGCCGCATCGCTCGGATAGCATCCCGACCAGAAGTCCTATAGCTCTCGCTGCTATGTCTTTGCGGAAATGAGTCTGTTTGGAGCTGATTGACCAGAGGTCCTGCAGGATTGTCCGAGGAGTGGGGAGCCTCCAGGCTCATGATCGTCTGACCTGCAAGCTCATGCTGAGCCAGATGATATTGGTCCCGGACATCCGCAATCCAGTCATAGTTCTTCTGTTTGTTAGGGTGCAAGCTGTATCGGAGAGGAATCAGCTTCACGTATGGCTCTTTATGAAAGGCGTCGTGCAGAGCTCTCCGAAGGCCCTCATGCTGCTCCGGGAAGGATGTGACATTGTTGCCCGCGCTTTCCAGAACCTGGATGAAGTGCCAGGCCAAAACCTCCAGGACCGGCGGGCAGCTCGGACTGCTTTGGTAGGGCGTCACCAACGTGGCTCCTGCACGGGTGAGCAGTCAGGACTCCCAGCCAGGGTCTGGCCAATCCAATCCGCTGACTTAGCAGGTGGAACAAGGCGTGCGAATCGCCTGTAATAAGGTTCCGCGTCTAGAGCAATGGGGCTAGAGCCCGTGGCAGGCCCATGTGTTAAATGCTCTGAGCCAGTCAGTGCTGTGCTGAGAGCAACATGCTAGCAGCTCAGCAGCTTCGAGCATGCGGGAGCACCGCCATAGGCAACCTGCATCAGGGTCGGGGCACTGGAAGTCGACGTTGAGTCGGCGCGTAGAGTTGCGCTTCCCACCTCAGTGTACAGCTGCGCACAGCCAGAGCTTCGACTGCAGCGCGCAGATCGCGTGACCTTTTGCTGAAGCTTTGCTGAATCGAGCATAGGCATCGCCTGAAACTGCAGAGCGCTTTTTGTAACTGCTCTGTGGGCAAGGGAGGAGTCCCTCCCTGCGCAGGCTCCTAGGCGCAGCTGAGACGGCTTGTCTGACGCCTTCCAGGTTTTGGGATGAGGCAGAGGTCAGCGTTCAGAAGGCCCTCCTCCAATCCCTGAGCCGGACGAAGGCTCCAGCTACAACTCCAGAGCACTGCTTCCAAGCGGCAGCCGGGGCTGAGCCCTTGGGAACAGCCTTGCCTGGCTTGATGGAGGCCATGTGCGCTGCCAGCTGAGACTCAGCCAGGACAGGGAATGTGCCGTCATCCCCTGGCAGCGGATGACGTATTGACTAAGAGCTTCAAGCTCTCTTCAGGGCTTAGCAAAAACCCCTGGTTGTCCTTGAGCTGTGCCTTAGTCGCAGGCGTCCAAGGCTTCAGGCGCTTCAGGGCCTGCCGCTTTAGAAGCATCCACTTCTGCCAGGAACTCCGCAGCTCTGTCCTTCCGAGCCTGCTTGACAGCCTGTTTGTGCTGTGCCACCAAGAGGTCATGGGCCTCCTTTCCCTCCTGAGTTGCCCGACGGCCCGCCAGAGGCGCCTCGCTGCCCTCGTGTCCTGGCCCTCAATGGGGTTGGGGTGCTGGAAAGAATTGCTGAGTGGCCTGCTTGAATATGTGTTCCACTCCAGTAGTCAGCCGATCCTCCACCCACTGCTGCATGGCCTGGGCCTCGGCCGGGTTCGAGCTGACTGCCGTCTGAAGCGCCTTAGAGTCATAGGATAATGGCTTGACCCGCCTGCCCGGCAGTTGCCAGTGTCGTAGCGGCTTGACCCTCGCCAGCACAGGCAAGTGCCCGCCAGTCTTCCACTGACCGAGCGGAAACTGTTCTAGCGGGTGCGCTTGCTTGGCCGAGCCACCGGCTGTTACCTCCCGCGTCAGGACATAGTCTATCTGCGTCTGTGAGGTACCCTGTTGGTATGTCCGCGCGGGGGAGGCCTGCCACGTGTTGAGGGCCACCAGCTGCTGGGACTGCAGTAGGAGTGTCAACTCTTGTTCGTCAGGCCGAGCCTCCTCAGGAGTAACCGTCCGAGCGCCTATCCGGCGAGGGGTACTTTCCACGGAGGAGTTGAAGTCCCCGCAATAATGAGCGTGTCCCGCTTCTGTACGCGTTGCGCACCCTTCCCGAGAACGCGAAGGACAGACGCCCGGTCAGTTTTATTAGCCTGAACTGTTTTGGCAGGGGACCAGACATGCTGGTAGACAGCCATGACAGTGGTCCGGGAACCGAACCAATCAAACCGAACCTCCTTGGCATGTTCCTGCCATCGGATAGTATCGGATAGACTGCGAGGAGATGGCCGGAGAAAGGAGAATCATGACCCCATCCGCTCTAGTTGTCGAGTGCGGCTTCTGCTGGCTATTCTTGGACTTTCTGGACCGAGTCCCCACTGTCTTGTTCCCTCTCGCCGACGAGCTGGTCGAGAGTTGGGCCGAGCCCCCATTCATTATGAGCACATCAGTATCCGGCTTGACCTCAAGTGAGGCTGAGGAAACGCAGTACCAGCCCGAGACTGCGAAATCCGCAATCTCCTTCCAATGCGTTTCCTGTAACACTAGCCGCTCTTTTACGAAGCTGAGAATAATTTTGTGAGTGCACTGGCAGTAATGCCATCCGCT